GAGGAGGAGGAGGAGGAGGAGGAGGAGGGGTGCGGAGGAGGAGGAGGATGAGGAGGAGGAGGAAGAGGCGGATAAGGTTGACGATGAGGAAAAGGGCGATGAGGTGGTTGAGGCGGAGGAGTCCTGCAGTGGAGACTACTGGAGCACCACGCGAAGCTCTTGCACGTTGGCCCAGCGATCACGAGGGAGTAGTCCATCAGCTGCAGCGCCGTCATGAGAAGCCTCCCGCTCCCTCATCCTCATCCTCCTCCTCATCCCAGCAGCATCGTCGTCTTCCTCCGTCCTCATTCTCATCGTCATCCCTACTCCTCCTCCTCCTCCACCTCCTGTTCTCATCCTCCTCATCCTCCTCCGTCCTCCACTTCTCATGCCCCCCTCGTCGCCGTCGTCCCCCTCCTCCTGGAGTGTCCTCCTCCTCCTCCTCCTCCTCCTCCTCCTCCTCCTCATCTCCATCCTCCTTCTCCTCCCTGTCCTTCCTAACCTCTGAGCCCTAGGTTCCGGAGGTGCTAGCCCCCCCCCCCTGGCGCTCCGTTTCAAGCCCTCTGGGAGCAGGACGTCCCCGTGGGCGCCGTCGTCTTTCTCGAAGCTCTCGCACCGAAGCCCATGCTCCCGAAGGCATCGACTGTACTGACCATGGCCCGCGAAGAGGTCGACGCCGAACACTTCCTGGTAGGGCTCCTTGGTCTGCATCTCCGCCTCGCACTCCTGCGAGGTAGCACCGCGCCCCCCACGAGTCCCCATCTGCCCCCGGGGGTTGTGGATGCATCGGGGATCGTGTGCCATAGGTCCCCACGCGTAAGTCCCCAGGGTTGTGTAGACACCTCGAGTACCCCCTGAGTCCTGCAGCAAAGATACCCAAGCCTCTGGCACCAAGCTCCAGTCAATGGAGCGGCGGCGAGGCGGCATCTTGGCCGTCGCTGTCATCATCAGCGAGATGGGGTCGAAGGGCTTCTTGGGGTTCTCTGGTTCCTTGGGCGGTTTCATCTCGCCAGGGGCCTCGGGGGCGCTCTGGTCGACGCCATCTGTCTTCATCTTTTTGGAGGTGACATCGCCGAACTTCAGAGTGGATTGCGCACACCCCCCCGATGGTAAGCCAGTGATGAGGCGCGGCCCGTTCGGGATGTCTGGGCCCATGCTCGAGCACGCGCGCTTGTTCTCTCTCACAGCTGCCTCGTGCCCGCACTTCGGACAAGAGATCGTCACTGTGGATGGCGTCATGTCACGCTGTGGGTAGTTAGTGCACATGTACCTGCCGCCGTGCTCATCCGACAACCAGCGCGCAACCGTGGAAGGAGGGAGGCAAGGGAGGAGGAGGAGTGACCAGAGAGGGCGGGAGAGGGGAGAGGAGGGACCGATAAGGGAGAGGGGTCAAGGAGGACGAGGAGGACGACAGCAAGGAGGAGGATGACCTCTGGGTCGCACTCCTCCTCGCTGTCGGTGCGGAAGCTGTCGCTGTCAGCCCTCGGGGGGGAGGGGGGTGGGGGGCAGCGCGGGCCCCGAACGCCCTGCATCCCGCCTGTCGATGCAGCGGAAGGGCGGGGTGGGGGAGCGGGTCCACGAAAGGGGTGCCCCCTAGTTATCGACTCACTCGCCCATCGCATGCGTCTCCTCCGCGGTTGTGCGCTCATAGTGATGCATGTGTTTATGTATGTATATGTTTATATGAATGTGTATATGTATTTATATCGATTGCTCTGTATGTGTGCATATCCCTCATCCGTGCATACATGTTTATGTATACATACATATATATATATACATACATACATATATACATATGTGTGTACGCATACCTGCATCCTCCCCGAACCGCAACCGAAGCGCCGTGAGGAGCTGCGTACTCCGACCGCCCTGGGCACGGCGGGCCACTTCGGGCATTGTCGGGGCCTCCCCCAGCCACCTTCCTATCGCATGTGCGTCTAACCATTCACCAACCACCTACCATTGATAACGCCAACCCCAACAGCAACACCAACGCCAACCACAACAACGCCACCGCCACCACGCCACCACCAACACCAACGGCAACACCACACGCGCAACTGCCATGGAGAGAGAGGTGGGCGAGTGCATGTTTCTCTACGGCCCCAGGCCCACCCCCGTCGCCACTGCGGGACTCACTCTCTTCGAAATTCTGGCATCCTGAAGGGGGGGCGATCAAGAGAGGGGCGCGAAGCCCCGCCACCGCGAGGCCCCCACAGGCGCCATGTCCGCAAGGTGAGGGGCCTCCGCCTGAGCCCCCCCCCCCCCCCCCCTCGCCCTCCAATCAGAGAGCAAGGATGGCGCCCCCATCCGCCCGCCTTCCGTTTGGACGGCGCGCGGGGGAACTGAGCGGGGCGGGGCGCCCTCTGGCGGTTGGGGCCAGTTGCCGATCGGGCCGCGGGGTGATGCGCAGACCCCCGCGGCAAGCCTCTGCCGCCAGGATGACTTACACGGCTTGCCATTACCTACACCTCCCACGGCGCCCGAGGATGAGGGGGGGGGGGGGGGGGCGAGGGCGATGGGTGATCCGAGACGGCCCCCGAGACGCCCTCCAAGACGGTCTCCGAGATGTGACACCCTTCCCCCTCGAGGTCGTTTCGGGAAAACGCACTCGGCCCAATGCCCAGAAAGCCATGGGCACTGGGCCGTCCTGGGCGGGCCCTGGGACCAAACCTGGCATTGGAAAGCAGAAGGGGCGAGGAAACTGGACCAGCCCTGAACTGGAGGGAAGCGTTGATCCCCGCCCCGTCCGCAGGCGCGAGCCCACGACGTCCTCCATGTACGATGCGCGCGGCCCGAGATGGCAGGCCGCCCTTCCCTTGCATGCGCTCGAAGCCGAGCTGGGCGACGACGGCGACGCCCAGGGGCGAACGGAGGGAGAGGAAGTGCAAGGGGTCAGGAGGGTGGAAGGGGAATGCTGAATGGGCGGGAAAGGGACGGGCGGGCAGGGTCGGGAAGGAGACTTGAGACAGTAGAGCTGGTAAAGTACATGGCAGGAGGAGAGGGTGCGGGGTGGGCGGTGCGCAATTGGCCCTTGGACCATGGTTCCCGCATCTGGGAAACGCCCTCCGACGGGCCCTGGGGCCCGAATTGGCATGGCGAAAATGAACAGCAAGGGGCGAATGAAATCGCTGCCGTTCTCCTCCCCTCCATTCTCTTCATCTTCTCCCTCATCATCATTCTCCCTCCCTCCTCCTCCTCCTACTGATACCCCCTCCTCCTCCTCCCCTCCTCCTCCTCCTCCTCCTCCTCCTCCTCCTCCTCCTCCGCCTCCTCCTCCTTCCCCTCCTCCTCCTCCTCCTCCTCCTCCTCCTCCTCCTCCTCTCTCCTCTCCTCCTTCCCTCCTCCTCCCCCCCCCCCCCCCCCCCCCCCCCCCTCCTTCTCAACGGCCAGGGGGGCCTTCGCTGTCGAGGGCGGGGCAGGGTGGCCGAAGGCAGGAGGGCCTGGCGCGAGGTGCCGAAGGCGGCCACCCCTCGCCCAGCCACCGACCCTGGCTCGCTCAGAGCGGACCATTCAGCGCCCCCTTCTGGATCCACCCCCGACCGAATGAGGGGGGCGAGGGTGGTCGGGAGGAGGGGGGGGGGGGGAACAGGAGGAATGATGACCGAGGTGGATGAGGGACGCGAGGAGGAACATGAAGAGACGACGCTGAATCCACAACCTCTCGCTCGACGCTCGTCGACCCCAGAACTTCGAAATGGAATGCAGCCGCGGCGGCGAGAGCGAGCCAGGACGTCAAGACATGTCTTCGTCGTCGTGTTCCTGCTCGTCCCTCCTACTAGTCCTCGGCCTCGCCGTCGCCCTCGCCCTTCTCCTATCCAGCCTCCCTCATCCGCCCTCCTCTTCCTCAGCAGTCTTTCCTGTATATTCCCCTGCTCCCTTATCGAGCCTCATCCTCCCCCCCGCCCTCTCCTCCTCATCCTCCTCCTCTTCCTCCTCCTCTCCCTCCTCGATCCTCCTTTTCCTCCTCCTCCTCCTCCTCCTCCTCCTTCTCCTCCTCGGTCCCCCTCATCCTCATCATCCTCCTCCTCTTCCTCATGTTGTTTCCGCCGCCAGGCGCTTACGACTCGTTCCACGAGCCAACCTGGTCTCCAGGCGCCTCCGCGCCCGCCGCGGGCTCGCCCGTCTCGCTGGAGGGGCGCGTCGGCTCGGCGGGGCGGTCCTCGTCGACGGACTCGCCGTCGCTCTCGCTCTTGGAGAGGCCGTTCGGCTCGGAGAAGTTCTCGCCGTCGGGGGTGCCCTCCTGCTCGGGGAGGTCGTCGCCGTCGGGGCCGCCGTCGGGGATGCTCTCCTGCTCGTCGGGGACGTGGTCGCCGTCGGGGAAGCCCTCTGTCACGATGGTCGCCTGCGGTGCGGGCGGCGGGCGGGGGGCGGCGACTGCGAGAGCGGGGGTGCGAGGGCGGGGACGGTCGGCATCCTCCTCCCTCACTCTCCGATCGCCCCCTCCGGTGTTCCTGGCCCCCCTCCTCGAGATCACCCTTCCATCATCTGCGCCTCCTCGACCCTCCTCCCCCTCCTCCTATTTCCTCATCGGTCACCATCCTAAATCCCACTCCACCTTCGAGCCGCCTCCTCATTCTCGATCCTCCTCCTCCTCCTCGATCCCTCTCCTCCTTCTCGACCCTCCTCCTCCTCGATCCGCATCCCCCCCCCTGTAGGCTCCTCCTCCCTCTCCCCCTCCTCCTCCCCCTTCCTCCTCACCCTTCCTCACGTTCTCCTCCTCCTCCTCCTCCTCCTCCTCCCCCTCCTCATCCTCGTCCGTCTCTCCCTCCTCCTCCTCCTGCGTATCCTCCTCCTCCTCCTCCTCCTCCTCCTCCTCCGCCTCCTCCTACTCCTCCTCCAACTACTCCTACTACTCCTCCTACCCCTCATCTCCCTCCCCCTCGATCCTCCTCATCCTCCTCCCCTGCGTCCTCATCTTCCTCCCCCTTTTATCCTTTTCAACCTTGCCCTCGTCTTCGTCAGTGTCGTCTTCATCATCCTCTGCCTCGACTCCCCCTCCTCCAATCGCCGCGCGCCTTGAACGTCATGATGGCGTCCTTCTCGGGGCTGATCTGGCCCGACTTGATGGCGCCGATGATCTTCTGCACGATTGACCAGCCCATCATTGTCGTGCCAGAGAGCGTGATGGCGCACACGTACTTGTTCGAGTCGTTGATGACCCTCACTTGTGGAGCTCGGCCAGCTTCTGGGGTGACTTTGAATGTGATGTCTCCGTGCGCCTCGGTGCTGACCTTCGTTGTCAATTGGCTGACGTACTCGTTCCGTTCCACTAGCTGGATCTTGTCACGATGGACTTTGACTTTCTGCAGACCCTCCCATTTCATCACCAAAAACTTGTCACCGTCAACCTCCCGTATGATCTCGACCACCTTTCCGTTGTCCTCGACGTTGTCGATCAGCCCCGTTAGCACGCATGTGGCGCCATTCACCAGGGCACGCATCTTCGCTTTCTTATTCGGTGGCTCTTGCTTCGTCTTGGCTGCGGTCTTGCTCGCCGCTGGCTTTCCCCGCTTCAAAGTGCCTTGCTTCGGCTTGGGGGCGCTCTTCTTCGCTGTCTTGGCATTCGGTTTGCCCTCCTCAACCTCATCTTTTCTAGGGGCGGCCTGTCTCTGCGTCTCTTCCTTCTCTTTCTTCGTAGCCGCACGTTGCGCCTTCTGGTACTCTCTCATCGCGTCGTCTGCATCCTCGCCACCACTTACAACCTCATCATGGTCTTCATCCTCTTCCTCCTCGCTTTCCTCTCCATCAACGTCGAAGTTGTCCGAGTTCGTGCCGTTCGACTCGTCTTCCGAACTTTCCTCGCCCTCATCTTTCTCCTCGTCTGCCTCTGGCGCCTTCGCTTTTACTGCCGCTGGCCTTTTCATGGTCGCCTTGTCGTGCCGCTCTCCTCTGCCTGAGCCCCTGCCTTTCTTGCCCCCCTTGCCTCCCCTGCCGCGCCCGCGGCCGCCGTCGGCGCCGAGGCCATCGCCCCCTGCTTCGTCTTCTGCTCCGCGGCCTGAGCGCTGCGGGCATTGAGGGAGGCGCCCTCCCCCCCTTCCCCTCGCTCCTCCTACTCATTCTCCATCTCGCCATCCCTTTCTTCTCGAGATCCTCCTCCTCCTCCTCGTCCTCCTCCTCCTCCTCCTCCTTCCCCTCGTCCTCGTCCTCCTCGTTGCCCCTCCTCCTCGCTCTCATCATCCTTCTCCCCCTGTTCCTCCTCCCTCATCCGCCTTCCTCTCCTCTGCCTCCTCCACCTCCTCCTCATCCCCCTCCTCCTCCTCCTCCTCCCTCCTCCGCCTCCTCCTCCTCCTCCTCCTCCTCCTCCTCCTCCTCTCCTCCTCCTCCTCCTCCTCCTCCTCCTCCTCCTCCTCCCCTCATCCTCCTCATCCCTCCTCTGACTTTCTCCCCCTGCTCCTTAGTCCTCCACCTCCTCGCCCCCCCCCATTCGCTCGTCCCCCTCGCCACCCCCTCGCCCCCCCTCGATCCTCCTCCAACCACCTCGCGCTCCATCCTCCTCCTCCTCCTCCTCCTCTTCTCCTCCTCCTTCTTCTCCTCCCTCTCTCCTCCTCCTTCTCTCCCTCCTGATCCTCCTCCTCTTCCTCTACCTCCTTCCGTCTTCCTGCCCCCCCCTCCTCCTCCTCCTCCTCCTCCTCCTCCTCCTCCTCCTCCTCCTCCTCGTGATCCTCCCCCTCCTCCTCCGCGCCTGGTCGGTCGGGCTTCTGGTACACGAGGCCTGGGACCTCCAGCACCTGGCCGTCCAAGAACTCTGCCGTGTAGAGCTCGCCGCTCGTCGCGGGGGCGATGGTCCGGACAGCCTCCTCCTCGGCGCCGCACTGCTCGTTGTTGATGTACAATTGGCGGAACGCCTTGTCGCCCTTGGAGTACACGATATGCTCTGCCTCGTACTCCTCACCCTCCTCCCGCACGCTCTCCTCCTCCACCTTCGCTGTCCACGGCTTGCACAGCGATACCTCATCTGGAGGACTGTACTCCTCAGGGGGAAGCGCGCCACCTTGGAAGAACCCGTCGTCGTCGTCAAGATCTGGAGCTGGGCCATCCAGGTCAGGCAACATCCTGGCGCACTTGCTGCCGTCGTCTCGCGAGGGCGTCGGCTGCGGCGTCGCTGGATTTGGCGAGGCCACGCACGTGTCATCTGCTGACGTCGGCGAGGTCGCCACCGAAGATGCTGCCGCTGAAGATGACGACCCCGTCGCCGCTGACTCTGCTGAAGACGAGCCGCTCGGCTTCGGGAAGTGGCACATGTAATCGCGAGTGCTGTCGCGGTACCATTCCCTGCGAATGTGAAAGAAGAGCGCCCGAAGCTTCGTCGCCGTCTCCTCCGCGCGGAACTTTGCCTCGCGCAGCGTCCTCGGCTTCTTGTCCTCCTCGACCAGCTGCGGCTGCTGGAACCTCCACAGCAGCCCGCCCACCAGACCCGACCACGAGGCGTTCAGCGAGGGGCAATCCTCGCGGTGGGAGGGCGGGCTAGCAGGGCAATAGGATTCTTCTTCCTCCTCCTCCTCCCCGCTCGCCCTTCTCCCCCCTGCTCCTCCTCCTCGTGCTCTTCCTTCCCTCCTCCTCCTCCCCCTCCTCCTCCTCCTCCTCCTCCCCCGCCTCCTCCACGTCCGTGGTCCTCCTCCTCGATCGTCCTCCTCCTCCGTATCCCGTTCCTTCTACCGTTCCTTATCCTCCTCATCATCTTCATTGGTCATTATTTCCCTCCTCCTCTTCCCCTCCCTCCTCCTCCTCCTCCTCCTTCTCCCCCTCCTCCTCCTCCTCCTCCTCCTCCTCCTCCTCATGTTCATCATCATCATCATCATCATCATCATCATCATCATCATCATCATCATCATCATCATCGTCATCATCATCATCATCCCGCTCATCCTCTCATTTCTCCTCCTCCTCCTCCTCGCACTCATCCCTTCGTCGCCGCCTGTCCTCCATGTGCCTCTTCACGCCGACCGAGTGCTGGAGGATGGCCGTCTCGTTCGACGGGTCCTGTGCTGGAAAAGTTGCGCCCCCTCCCCATCTCTGTCTATTTCTCCCTCACTCTTTCGTTCTCTCGCTCTCTACTTCCCCCCACCCGTTAGCTGCGAAGAAGAGGGGAAAGGTGAAGTGTAAGGAGGCGAGCGAGTCAGGAACTGGGTCGAGGCCCCTCCCTCTCTCAACTATCCGAAGGGAGAGGAGGAGGCGTCAGGCGGAGACGCCAGGAGGAGTCAGGAGAAGAAGTCTGGAGAAAGAGTCGGGGGGAAGAGTTAGGAGGAGAAGGAGTCAGGTTAGGAGGAGGAGTCCAGAGGAGGTGTCAGTAAAACATCGTATCATTCGTTCTCCCCAATCGTCCTGGAACGCCTCGTCGTAGTTGACGTCGTTGGCGCCGTCCAGCAGCAAGTTCAAGGACTTGCCGATCCGCTCTGGCGTCGCCTTCCAAGAAGGCCCTCTGCCCATCTGGAGGGCGGCGGCGCAATCGGAGGGGCGCTGCGCTAATCGAGACGCCTCCTCCTCCTCCTCGCAGCCCCCCCTCGTCGATCGATGAGGGGTGGGATGCGGGGAGGAGGAGGAGGACGAGGAGGAGGAGGATGAGGACCATGGGATCTTCTGGTCCTCCTCCTCCTCTTCCTCCTCGCTCCGTCCCCTCCCTTTATCCTCCTCCTCCTCCTCCTCCTCCTCCTCCTCCTCCTCCTCCTCCTCCTCTCCTTCGACAAGAGAAGCGCCCCTCCCCCTGCCCGCGGGCGGCAGCTTCCCTAAGCCGCGGGGCCGCCAGCCCACGCAGCCGCGGTGCCGAAAACGGCGGCACCGAGGGGTGAGAGGCACCAGCAGCTGCAGCAGGATATGAAAGGGGATGTCTATATCATGAGGGAGATTGGAGGAGGATCAGGAGGGGGAGGAGGAGGAGGAGGAGGCGGAGGTGGAGGCGGAGGAGGATGAGGAGGATGCTCGAGGAGGAGGAGGAGGAGACGGAGCGATGGGGAGCGATGAGGAGGAGGAAATGAGGAGGAGAGGGAGGAGGAGGAGGAGGAGGAGGAGGAGGAGGAGGAGGAGGAGGAGGGTCCCGTCTCCTGGGCCCTGGGCTCGTCCAGGCCCAAGGCCCAAGGCCTCCTGGGCCCTGGGCCGAGGGCGCTTCACCGAAAGAGGAGGTCCCCCTACTAAATATGTTATGTTATGCTATGTGATGTTATGATATGTATGCGTGTACGCGTGTGTTAATATATGTACCACATTCGTAGGTGTGATTCCTTTTTGTATATGCATGCATGTTGTATGTTAGCCATTCGTAGTGTTTGTTTGATCCATATGTGTTCTGTATGTTCTAACCAACCTGACTATCACTGCTAAGAGCTATTTATAACATTTGAGCTTGAGAGCTATTTATAACACCATACTAAAAAATCGTGAAAATAGCATTATAGCTACAAGAGCTATCTTATACTATTTCAAAATAGCATTATTGCTATCTTGTTTGCGTCTGGAGTTATGTGAAATAGCACTATAACACTCGAAGCTATTTTTTAGCACCCGAGTGCTAAAAAAGAGCACTGCGGAAGGTCAGGGTTGCCTGGAGCTCACCAAACGGCGCAATGTTTCGGCCCCCGCGGGGGCGTCGCGGCCCGACTTCTCGCGACCGGGCGCGTTATTCGCAGAGAGCCTGAGACCGTCCGCTTCGATTTCGAGCGTGGCTTCGGCTCTCCTCGGGGCGTCGCCCACGCGCGCGCAGGCGACATTGGCGGGGCAATCCTGGAGCTGAGGTGCATTGGCGTGCCCTCTCGGGTTTCTCAACGGGCCCGGAAGTTGGCGGCGCTGGTTTCGGGCTCGCGCGCGAGCGTTTCACCCCCCTCTACATGGTCCGTTCTCGCGGAAGATAGCTGCACGATGTGCGGGGGCCATCTCGGAATTCATCTCCGCCTGGGCGGAATCCGCGGCCGCTCTGGATCTGGCGGCAACGGGGGGCGCGGGGGGGGCGGGGCATTTTCGCGAAAGCCTGTTCGGGGGGCCTAGGGAGCGGCGCTTCTGCGGGCGCTGGCTTGCAGGAGCCAGGCCCCCCCCAGTCCCCCCAGCTAGCGCGGTGGCGCGCGGCGGCTCCAACGCGCGCGGCAGTGTTCCCCCCTCCCCCCCGCAGGTTGCTCGCCCAGGAGGTCGCGATGCTCGCCGAGATGTTTCCTTTCCCGCGCTGCGCTCTCAGTCGAGTTGGATACTTTGGCACGGGGAGAATGGGGGGGGCCTCGCACGCGATCGTTTTCGCGCTCGGCCTGCGCAGCGCGCGGGCGGGCTGCCTCGTCAATGTTCGCCTCTCGCTGGCCTGCGCGGGCCCGACGGTGGCGCGCGCCGGCATGGAAGCGTCTGCCGATCGCTGGCGTTCTGCGGGGGCGGATGGTCTCCCGCGCAGCGGGGGGGGCCCGCCTCGCGCCGCCGACCCGACGCCGGGGCATCTTGCGCTAGGGTAGCGCCGTCGAGGTTCGGAGTATGACGCGCGGCGCGGGCCCCCCGGCCTGCGAGCGCCGGCGCGCGCGTCGGGCCCGCGCCCGAAGTGCTTCGGCGATCTCCTCGGCGGCCGCGCGTTTTCCTTCGGGCGCTTTGCGCCCGCCCCCCCCCCGCAGTCATCGGAGCTGGCTCCCTGGGCTCGGAGAGGACAACGACGCCATCGACAGGCCCGCGGATTGGCGCAGCGCGTCGAAGTTGAGGGCGTCGCGCGCCGCTCCTTTTCGCGCCGGGCCCATCCTGCGGCGCGGCTGGCTCGGGGGGGCGCCCGGCAAGCGGGGCCCGCTTGCGCCCGCGGCGGCTCGGCGCCTCGCCGCGGGGGCTTGTCGTCGAGATCGCGGGGGGGGGGGGGGGGGGGGGCTGTGGGCAACGGGGGGCGGGGTGAGATCCATCTCCTCCGCCTGCCGGCGCCGGCGCCAGAGGGGCTCGAGGTGCTGCGTAGCTGCGCTCTGCGCGCTCTGTGCAGAG